GCTAGCATTTATTTAGCACCTACTATGTGCCAGGCAGTAGTAGATCCAGATGTGGTGACACATGCCTACAATCCCCAGAGACTGAGGCTAGAGTTCAGAGATGCAGTAGGGCTAATGCTGTCAGGTGACCACAGAGAGAGAGAGAGAGAGAGAGAGAGAAAGGAAGCATCAGTTAGCAGTGTGGGACTTATGTCTAAATCGTTTGGGTGCAATTCAACTTCACAGAATGAACTGTGTAGTTCATTCCCATGACAATTATATAGGGGGTGAGAAACAGTTATGAGAAAGAACTACCCACATTAATTGAGGGCACTCAAGGTACAAACAAGCATCACAAAAGGTCCTCCCCAGCATAACCCACAACTGCACACCAAGCAAAAGATCACATTGTATTTAGTGTACGTTATTTTTTAAAGTATTTTCCTCAGAGGGTGGTCAAAGAAAGTTCCCATTTCATATACGCAAAAATATTAACAGAGGCACTTTTTGTAGTAGCAAAGAATAATAATAGCTCACATTTATATAGCCCTTTAAGGTTTGCAAAGCACTCTACTATCTCTTTTGGTTCTCAAAATAACCCAGGCAGGTTGGTCTTTAACATGTGTCTCCAGGAACCTCTGGAAACAGCAAAGTGGACCAATGTCCCAAGAAAAAGCCTGTCCACTCTTTTCTTGGTTTGAGGAAGAAGAGCCAAGAGATAGGATGGAGGTTGGAGAGACAGGCTAAGGGGAGGAAAAGGGGGCAGCAAGCTAGTAAGCTCGGAGAGCTTGAGAGCTACAAGCAAGGGTGTGCAGGTAAATATTTAACAGAGGCTCTCCAGAAGAAGAAAAAGTACAAAGGACATATTTTTAAGTTTAATCTGTATTATTAACACCAGACAACCAACAAAATAATAAACCGAGCTCTGATTTGTGGGGTTCTCCAGTTTCCAAGATGTAAATGCTCACACTGAAAATTTAACTATCAGCTTTCTAGAAGCCACATGGGTCCAGTTGGGTTCAGCACACCCCTGGCTACATCTGTGATTGCTATCTCTATCACAGATAGAGGAAGATGCATGTTAGCTGAAAGTGCTCGCCTCTTTTGGATGGAGGCCAAATGGAAGACAAATTTCCTATAGATGGTGAATTCCTTCAAGGTGTTCCCATTTATGGATGACTTCATGGGGATTGCATCAAGCCCCAGAACATCTCCATGGTACTTCTTTAATGAGATGCACAACTGCTATTGTCTAGATTGTGACATGCAGCTGGCTAGGAAGCCCATTGAGTTAATCCATCAGTACACATACCATGGTCAGGCATTGAAGATGCCCAATAACTGAGGTCAAGGATGACAACAGTGAGTTGTACTGTACTTGAGAAATTATATCACTATTCTGATAATTCCAATCTTTTTAACCCTAATATTTAACTCTAATAATAGAAGCAGTGGATGGCACTGTGGATGGAGCAATGGGCCTGGAGTCAGAGAGACCCAAATTCAAATCCTGCCTCAGACACTTAATACTGTGTGACTCTAGACAAGTCCCTAACCTCTATCTGCCTAAGTTTCCTCACCTGTAAAGATGGAGATAATGATAATACCTATCCTGCCAGGGTTGTTACAAAAACAAAATGAGATAACATTTGTAAAGTGCTTTTCAAAATGTAAAGCACTATGTAAATGTTAGCTCATATTAATATTCTTTTGGTGATGCTGTATGAGTCACACATGAATACCACAATTTCTGACAAATCATAATTAAAGCAGAAGGACCACTGGATTTGGAATCAGGAGACCTGGGTTCAAATTCTGGCTCTACTATTTACTAACTATTGGACCTTGGACAAGTTACATAACCCTTTTAGAGTTCAATCTCCTGTTTGTAAAATGAGGTTAGACAAAATGACCTCTAATATCCTTTCAGCTTCTAGATCAATGACCTTATCAGGTCCCTTCCCACTTCTGGGCCTCGGTTTCTTCATGTGTCAAATGAATGTGTTGGACTAGATTGCCCCTGAGTTCCCCCTTCTAGCTCAGAGTCCTAGAAGTCCTTTGATAGAATAGTCCTGAGCAGCTGAGGATCAGACCTTATCTAGTTAAGAGTCACTCAGAGAAGCCAGATTGAAGATAGTTGCTCAGACAACTAATTCTATCTAAGCTTCAACAGTATTATCAGGAGCACTGAAACACTTTTAAATGTTGACATTTAGCTGAGCCTTTAAGGAGTTTTAGATAAGAAATCTTGGTTTGGATAATCAGCTAATATTTAAAAAGCAAAATTACTTCAGGTGATGCAAGTCTAATTTGCATCTCACCTTCCACACAATGCAGGAACCTCCTCCCAGACAACTGGGTCAAGTGATCATCTAGCTTCTGCTTTAACACTTCCATGACAGGAAGCCCAATACCTCCCAAGGTCACCCATCCCATCTGTGCACAGCTCTAGTTATTAACTCTTACCACTACTGAGCCAACATGTGACCCTAGAGGGTTAGCACAGCGTAACAGAGAGAGTTCTGGACCTAGAGTCAGAAGAAGGCAGAGTTCACATCCCATTTTTCACACTCATTAACTAGATAGCCACAAGCACATCACTTTAACCTTCTTCTATAAAATGAGGAAAATAATAAGGTTATATCCTATCTCACAGGAGTGTTTTTAGGATCAAATGAGCCAGTGTCACAAAGCACTTTGTAAAACTGCTTTTTAAATGACAGTTATAAGTATTATTAATTAATTATTGTTATAATTATTAATATTTTGTTTATTATAATAGATATTGTCATTGTAATCATATTATTACTATTGGATTGTTTGTGATTGGTTTGAACAGTAGTTTTTTTTTCCCTTTCCTACCTCATCATCCCAACCCTAAAAGCCCCAAAGGAATGGGTAATGTGAAGTTGAATTACCTGCAGAGTTTTTATGTAAAAAGAGTCAATCACTCTCTGTCTCCCCAAAGTGGGGACATTTGATGAAGAGTCACTTGTTTTAAAGGAAATGTGCCAAATACCTTCAGAGAAAGCAGCAGCAGAGGCAGTGAAGCTCACAGCATGAATTCACCAGATGGTTACTCAGTCCACTTATTAGGAGCCCCCAGGCTCAAGCAATGGCTATTCCTGAACAATGAACCTCCAATGAATGACCTCTAATCCTGCTAAATCACTGGCCTCCCTCCAGGTTTTGCCTGGGGACCATCCAGGAGGTGACTGTTAGCTCTCCAGGAGTCAGAATGTGTGATGGTCCTAGTGAGACACATTGCATCTGGTGAACCAATTATTCCACCCCTTCTCCCTTTGACCTCTGAGTGGATGGGGAGTTGAGGGCAGGCTGTTAAGAAACTCAGGAATTTTAAAGCCAATGTCATTCATTTCACATGTCAGCTTTAGTCCATATATTCTCTCTAAACCATATGTGAGTAATTCTTTCAAGCCACACAGAGTTGGGAAGGAGACTAGAATCTTAATGGTAATAGGCACACAAGCTAATCACAAGTCATTGCCGGATTATTTCATACCCTGAACCAGATGAGACTGAACCTGGCCCAAGGTGGTCTATGAATGACTATGGAGAAGGACGTGAGGCTGAGGACTTTGCACAGCTCTGCCTCAATCAAATCCAATTCATGCACAAGTCAAGACATTACCCTCGTGATGGACCACTGGTCCTCTTTGAGAAAGGACAAACAAGAAAGAGACACAGGACCTAGACAAGACCCTGTAGACACCTGCACTAAGGTGCTTGGGCTAGTCATTAGTGGCTTGGAGTGCTACCTGGTGGCTTGTGCAGGGATTGCACTATGGCGAGCCATACATGCTATTGCATATATGCTTTGCCTGCCTTTGGAGCTCGTCAAAAGCAAATGAATCCAAGGAAAGGAACATTCCTGCTCTACACTCAGTATTAAGAGGAGACAGCTTGGTGTACTGTAAAGAATACTAGGCTTGTAGTAAGAAGACTTGGGTTCAAATCCTGACTCTTACAGTCCTTGGCACTGTCCAATGGCTCACCATCAGAAACTGATAAGATTTATCAGTAGAAATGACATTCAGAGAGAGGTATAAATATCTAATTAATGGCTAACCACTAAGAACCAGCGGACCTTCCCATCTGACCTGCAACTGAAACCTTCCCTATGCAATATCTCCCCCATTAGGACATGAGCTCCTAGACAGTAGAGACTATCTGATTTTTCAGAGCTTAAAGTAGTGCTTTGCACATAATAAGTGCCTAATTCATGCTTTATTCATTCATTTAAGCAAGAATTAATAGGTCATGTTTCTACAGCACTTTAAGGGAGTGAAATGAAATAAGAAGAAACAATGGACCTGGACTCAAGAGAACTGGGTTTGAATCCCAGCTCTCTCACTGACTCCCTGTGTGACCTTGGGCAAGTCACTATGCTTCTCTGGGTGGGCCTCAGTTTCCTCATAAATAAAAGGAAGGGTTAGATAGACACCCTCCGAGGTCCCTTCCAGACCTAAATCTAAAATCCCATGGCCTGGTGTGGGGGGAGGAGAAGTGGATTAAAGGGATTAAAGATGATCTCCAAAGTCTTTTCCAGTCAGGAGCAACCTTGGCCTCTAAAACTCTGTGATTTATGAGGTACTCTCTTCATGTCAGCCCTGAAAGGGAGGTAGTCCAGGCTTCATTATTTGCATTTTACACATGAGGAAACTGAGGTTCAGAGCTTGGGTGATTTGCCCAAAGTCACACAGCTAGCCAGTGTTAGTGCCAAGACTCTTCCCCAGGTCTCCTGACTCCAATTCCAACCATGTCTCCAGTATATATGCTGCTTCTAAAGTTTATCTTGCATACATACCCCTAACCCTTCCCAAAGGCTCTGCTATGAAATAAACAGAGATAAGGGGACCTCTTCCTAGGGACTTCAGTGGTTAGATGTACCATGGATGGAATATTTTGTTTCTCTTATTATTTCTGCCTACATGAAAAAGATTTTTTTTAAGTTAACTTTTTTTAATGGAAAAAATAGCCTCCCAGCCTATCCCATTTACCTTCTGCAAGATGGGCATGGGACAAGCGTTGTCAAAGAAGACACAGTTGAAGGCTCCATAGACACCCTCAGAAATATGGTACACGATACTCTTGGGAGAGGCCCCATCTTCCTCTGTGAAGGGGAAGGGCAGAGGGTCAGGGAGAGCAGTCAGAACCCTGGCCAGGGAAATTCCCTGAGCCTTCCTGGAGTTAGGGCAATGATGGATCCCCCTCCCAGTAGGCTGTTCCTATAGGCTGACCAGGTTCCCCTCTCCCCAAGAGGCCAGGCCATTGCTAGTCACCCTCAAAGGGAGAGACAGCATGGCATAGGAGAAAAGTCAATGGACTACCTGAGTCACACTAGGCAAGTTGTTTTATGTCCCTGGGCCTCACTTTCCTCATCTGTAAAATTGAGAGGCTGGACTAGAACTAAATGATCTCTAAGGTCCTTTTCCTGAGAGATTACAAAAGTATCATAGAGCAGTGGAACAAAATGTTAGATTTGGAGTCAACGAGTCTGGGTTTGAATATCAGCTCTACTTATTACCTCTGTGACTCTGGGCAAATGACTTCAACCAATTGGGGACTTAGTTTTCTCTTTTGTAAAATGAAAGCTGTTGGACTAGATGCTCTCTGAGGTTCCTTCCAGTCTAAATCTATGATCCTACAATATTTTTAGCTTTAAATCCTGTGATGCCATGGGTTGAGGGTAAGCAAAGAGGAAAGCACATCCTCCTCCATCCCAGGCATATGCTCTGTATATTCAAATGCCCTTTGGGGTCAATTATCTTGACCTTCACAATATGCTTGGGAGGTGGGGAGGAAGAAGAGGGTAAAATCCCAAAACAGCAGAAGTAGGAAGGGTCTCCCACTTCCTCTACCCTCTAGCTTCCCATGGTCAGAATGTTTCTTCCCATCTTTGCCATGCCAGTTCCCACAAATCTTCCTAAAGTCTACCCAACAGTTACCTCCTCCAAACAGCCTTCCCAAATTAATCCTGGCCAATTCCAAGCACTGTTGTCATCTCATATCCCTTTGCATGTGGTTCATTTATTCTGTTCACACTCTGAAATCATGCGTGCACACAAGCTCAGCTAGCCTGAGAGGAACCTCCCAAGTGGCACCAAGCTACCTTGGCTATCTCCCCACAACCGAGCCCCCACCCCACTTACCATCCGAGCCAGCCTGATCTGATGGAATGTCCTTCTTGGCAACAATCCTGATGGCCAAGGTAAAAGCAGAGGCCACGTAATAACGTCCAGGCTCAGCCAGAATATCCACTCCACAGCCTTCAGGAAAGTACATGTCCAAGGCTGAGTTGATCACAGAAGCCATCTGGAGTCAGAAAGGAAGAGAAGGGAAATGGAGAATGAGCCATCAGATCCCTTCAGAAGGAAAAATTCCAGCTCAGAAATCATTCCACCCAGAAATAAAATTCTACTTCTAGAGTTGGAAGAGAGCTCAGTCATTACTTAATCCAATCCCTACCAGAATAGGGATCCTTCAAAACTCCCTCTCCCCTACCCAATGGTCAATATACTGTGACCTGGGGCCCAGTAGAATTTGCAAAAAAGGCATAAAATCTGTCCAGTTTGGCCCACAGTATTAGCAGAAATTGCAAAGAAGCAAATTTAGACTTGACATCGGGAAAAAAAATCCTAACAATTAGAGCCGTCCCCAAGAGGAATGAGCTGCCTTGGGAAATGATGGGTTCCCTTTCTTTGGAAGTCTATGAGCAAAGAGGCTGAAGGGGCTGACCATGTGTCAGGTATATATGTGATAGTGAAAACTCCTTTCAGCTATGAGTTGGACTGAGATGTCCCTGAGATCTTCTCCAAGTCAAAATCCTGTGATTTTCCAGAATCTAATCAATCACTCTTCTCTACGACAAAATATTTGAAGACTTCTTCAAATACTTAAAGATATCTATTGTATCTCCCTCAGTCTTTTCTTCTCCAGGCTAAACTTCACCCAGTTCCCTCAACACGTACTCTTACGGCATTGGTCTCCGGGCCTCTTGTTGCCCTGGGTCCAAGAGAGAGACCCTTACCTCCCATGGCAGCTCATTCCACTTTTGGACAGCTCTGGTTGTTTGGAAGGGTGGCAAAGTGGATAGAGAGCTGGGCCTGGAGTCAGGAAGATCTGAGTTTAACTCCTGCCTCAGACACTTCCTAGCTCTGTGACCCTGGGGCAATTTACTTTGATCCTGTCTGCCTCAGTTTCCTCAACTGTAAAATGAGTTGGGGAAGGAAATGGCAAACCACTCTAGTATCTTTACCAAGAAAACCCCAAATGGGGTCACAAAGAGTCAGACAGGACTGAAACAACTAAACAACAACAGTTGTTAGGAACTCTCTCCTGATATCAAGCCTCCTCTGAATGGACTCCAGATTATCAATATCTTTTCTAAAATATGATGTTCCAGATGAGATATAACTAGACCGGAGTACAACAGGATCTCCCTTGTTCTAGATACTACGCCTCTGGTAGCTGTCTCGACTGCCATATTGACCCACACTGGGCATATGAGATCACTAAATTTTTTTCATACCCAATTCAGTCTAGACCAAGTCTCTCCATCCTATACTTGTTTGACTGATTACTTGACTCTGGGCGTAGATGTTTTGGAGTCCCAATTCTGTTATCCAATGTGTTCATTATCCCTCCCCCCTAGTTTTGAGTAACCTGAAAGTCTGATGGGGCAACTACACCCATCAATCAAGTTGGTAAAAATGTTCATTTGAAGAGGACAGGACTGCACTGAGTCAATCTGATAGGGCCCTCTCCCTCCAACAGCACCCCTTCGCCAGGAAAAAGTCTAGGCAGTTCTCAACTCATCTCTCAACTTAAAAATGACATGGGCCTTAGAGATCCCTGACACCAACCCCTTCATTTACCGATGAGGAAACTAAAATCCTGGAGGTTACTGGCTAGAGAGGCAATGTGGCACCAGTGGAAAGAGCTGGATTCGTAGTCAGAGCACCTAGGTCCAAATCTGTGTGGCATTGGGCAAGTCTCTTAGAGCCTCAGAGTTTCCTTATGTAAAAAATGAAGGGGTTGGAACGAGATAATCTCTAGCATTCCTGCCCAGCTCTAGATCAATAGAAGCCTGTGATTTGCTCGACCAAATTCCCCCAGGTAGCCAGTAACACAGCTAAGATCCAGGTCCGGATATTCTGACTGCAAAATCCAGGGTTTGTGCCAGTATTCCACTTTGTCTCAAAAGGGACAATTTATATGTAGGATGAGAGGGCATGGAACTGTGATGAGGGAATATCCAAACTGACAGGATTAAGGACTTATTGAAGTATTTCTTTTCTTTTTCTTTTTTTAATTTGTTTTTGGAGGTAATCAGGGTTAAGTGTCTTGTCCAAGGTCACACAGCTAGTAAATGTCTGAGGTCGGATTTGAAATCAGGTCCTCCCCAACTCCAGAGCTAGTACTCTATCCACTGTGCCACCTAGATGCCTAGGTACCCCTGAAGTATTCCTTTTCAAGTGGCACCCCTGTAGCCACTAGATTTCAGGGGAAGGAAGGAACAGGCAGCTGCCACAGCTCCAGGTCCCACCACTAATGGGATAGCTTCTCCAAGGATCAATAAGACAGAAGGGGACTCCACTCTCCTGCAGCCCCACTGCAGCAAAGGTAGCAAAGAAACAGAGACAAGGAAGGGGAGTAGAGGCCAAAGGGTGACTTTGCTTCTCCATTATAGTGAATGGAAAAACAACATCTTTTAACTCTTTGTGTGCCAGTCAGAGAAACATATGCTGTTTTTCCTAGGCTGTGAGCTCCTTAAGAAAAGGGACCATGGAGTATCTCCACCACTGTGTTCAGAAGCACCCAGTAAATACTTGACAAATGTTGAATTAAATTTGTTGTTGTTCAATCATTTCTTGACTTTCATGACCCCAGTTGGGGTTTTCTTGGTAAAGACACTGGAGTGGTTTGCCATTTCCTTTTCCAGCTCATTTTACAGATAAGGAAACTGAGGCAAACAGGGTTAAGTGACTTGCCCAGGGTCACACAGCTAGTAAGTGTCTAAGGCTGGATTTGAACTCGGGAAGACAAGTCTTCCACTCTATCCACAGCTCCACCTAGCTGGTTAGAGAAATGAGCAGCATTGGCAATTCAGCCGCCTCCTCAAAATCCAAAGAGAAATAGTAGGGGGGTGGTGATTGAGGAAAAAATACTATCATCATTATTCAAGACCTGGGCAAGTAACTTTAGCTCAAAGGGCCTCCGGCAAAATTCTGAAGAGTCTAATTTGCAGAGAGGATGGTCAGTGTGCATTGGTGAAGCTAGTTTCCTCACAGAGAATTCCTTATGCCAATCAAGTCATAGGTCCAATTCCATCGTCCCCTCCCAAGAGTGTTCATAGTATTTAGTCATGAATGCACACTGCTGCTCTTTCTTCTTCGTGGGGAACTGGAAAGAGCCCTGGATTTGGAGTCCATGGACCTAAGTTTAAAACCCAGCTCTCTACCTTACTACATTGGGACCTTCAGGGAAAATTCTTTCCCCTTTTTCTGGCCTCAGTTTCCTCATCTGTAAGATGATCTGAACAGATGATCTCTTGGGGCAGCCAGGTGGCGCAGTGGATAGAGCACCGGCCCTGGATTCAGAAGGACCTGAGCTCAAATCCGGCCTCAGACACATAACACTTACTAGCTGTGTGACCCTGGGCAAGTCACTTGACCCCATTGCCTAACCAAAAAAAATAATAATAATAATAACAGATGATCTCTTGAGCTCCCTTCTAACTTAAAATTCTCTGATTGTTGATCTCATTCTTATTCCAACACTAAAGGGCCCCACCAGGGCTTGGATGAGACACTGGGTTCCCAAAGGCTGGAGCAGCAGGTAACAAGGCTAATTGCTCCATAAGTCTGGGCCAATGATATGCCTGGAATCCAAAGGATCGGTCCAAATAAGTGCAGAGAAATTCACCAACAGAAGGCTAGCCCCCAGGAGTTAAAGCTATGGGTCACAGCCACTCATAAAGGTCACATACTAAGGTGGAGAAGAGCTGCTATCTATATAAGTGGAGGAAATCACAGGTCCCTGAAGTGCCAAACCATTATTATTACCAATATCATTGTTATTGTCACTGTAGTTGATCTCCATCAACAGAGTTCAAATTCACAAACTTTACTTCTTTTGATGCTAAGCAAGAGGCCTGTGAGGCAGGTGGGTTAGACAAGTATTGGCCTCTCTGTTTTACAGAGGCTCAGAGAGATTGCTCTACTCGTCAATGGTCGCATAGCCTGCCAAGCAGCAGAGGCAATTTTGAAATCCTGATCTCCGGACAAGTCCAGGGCTCTGTCCAACCTTGGGGACCAGGAGGAGGAAGAAAGCTACTAAATAAATGAACACATCTAGGCCTCTTAACCTTCCTTCTATTCCTCTGCCTTCTCCAACTCCTCCCTCTGCACCACTTATTCCAGCAGTAGGGAAGCCGCCCCTTTGCTGCCTGGGACAGCACTCCAGTCCAGGGCCTTTCCTGACGCCCACCCCTCCCCCCAAGTTGTGCTTTTGAACTCTTGAAATTACTTTCTGCCTATGTTTAATCAATCAGTCATCAAGTATTTATTACATGTCCACTACGTCCCAGGCTCTGCGAATACAAAGGAAAAATGAAAACAGTCCCTGCCCTCAAAGAGCTTATATTCTATGGGGAGAAGTAAACAAAAGTGGATACAAGGTAATTTGGGGGGAGGGGAAGGAGGAAGGCAGGAGCAGAGAGCAGAAGAGGACAAGAAAGCCCTATGTACAGGAGGTGGTGCCCGAGCTGTATCCCTTCCCCACCCCCAGTAGAATGTAAACTCCCTGATACGAGTTTCCTTTGTCTTTGTATGCACAGTGCCCAGCACCGTGCTTGCAAAATGGGATCATGGGACTACATGACTGGGGTCACAACTCTGAATCTGTCATCTTAGATGTTTACTGACTAGAAATGACGGCTGGGCTGGCTGGACTAAGGTGGAACCCGGGGCTTCTTGGTGGATTTTATCCCCACAGCCTCTGTGCACTCATCCCACCCCAAACCATGACCCTCTGAGAGGGCATCAGGGGGCCCACAGACCACTGGGCTTTTACCTCTTCAAATCTGACTTTGGAGTCCTCAGTGCCAGGAAAGCCACCTCCAAGATCCAGGATGTGCATCCGGTAGCCCAGCTCAGTCCCCATTTCAAACACCAGGCGAGCATCTGCGATGGATTGAGTAAAGGCCTGAGGGTCGGAGGAGCAGCCACTTCCAACATGGAAACTAAAGAGAAAGAATCCTGCTCTAAGCAGATGGACTTACTGGGGGTGAGGGAAGGAGGGGGAGAGAGAGAGGGGAGAGGAGAAAGAGGAGAGGAAGAAGGGAAGAAGAAGAGGAGAAGAAGACAAGAGGAAGGAGGAGAGGGAAGAGACGGAGGAAGGGAAGAGGGGCAACTGGAGAGGAAGGAGGCAGAGAGGGGAAAGGAGAGGAAGGGGCAGAAGGGGAGGGAGAGAAAGGGAGAAGGAGAGGGAGGAGGGGAAGGAGGAGAGAGAAGAGAGGGAGAAAGGGAAGAGGGGGAGTTGGAGGGTGAGAAGAGGGAAAGGGGAATGAAAAGGAGGGGGAGGAGGGAGAGAGGGGAAGGCTGAGGAGGAGAGAAGAGGAGGAGGAGGTGGAAAAGCAGCGTCTCCCCAACCCTACCAGCCACAGAGTTGTAGGTCTTGGAGTTAAAAGGAGCAATGTACCCATTCTACAGAAGTGGCAACTAAACCCCAGAGAAATAAAGGACCTTGCCAAGGATCATAAAGCAAGAAAGTAAAAAAGAAGGGGCCACCACTTATTTGATATCATGGATTATACTCTGGGAAGTAAAAAGTGGGTTACAAGGGGAAATGTAGGCAATGTAAAAACAAAAATATCAATAAAAATGTATTGGCAGTGGAGGGTTTTTAAAGGAGGCAGAGGTCTGACATAGAGAATATTAGAACTATAAGGGCGCTTTGAGGCCACCTACTTCAACTCACTTGGCCTACTGATGAGGAGGTAGAGATCCAGGGAAGTGATGACATATAGCTACTAAGCATGAGATCATGGCAGCATCACTAACATGCAGGGTCTAGGCAGAGGGTTCTGCAATCTCTCCCATGCCCTTTCCCAATCCCACCCCTGAAAACGTCAGCTGGCTCCACAGGTCACCAAGTTAGTGATCCTTGCAAGGCCTTTTCTGGGATGCCTCCATCCAGAGTGGGCCCCAGATTCCTCCTAATAACACTAATAAACAATTATAAGAGAAACTTGCCTCAATCAAGGCAGAGGGATTAATCAGCTGGAAACTGATTGCTAGGTGATTTGGTTTTGCCTAAGAACCCACTTCACAATTTCCAGAGTACTCTCCATTCCATTATTCTCATCATATCTTCACAACATTTCTATGACCTAGGCAGGGCAGATATTAACATCCCCATTTTGCAGATGAGGAAAATAAGGTCTGGAGTGGGGAGCTGATTTGCCCAAGCTCACACTGCCAGGAAAGAACAAACCCACCATAAGAAGCCACAGTCTGACAGGTTCCCATCCACCCAGAGGCAAGATTCTAGAAACCCCCAGGAGCCAGGTCACTCACCTAACACCCACCACCTCCATGTTCATCTTCTTGGCAGTTTCTAGCAGGTGTCTACAAGACTTCAGAGTAGCACCGAGTTTCATGCTCAGGCAGGCAGGAGAACAGGAGTCATCTGTGGCAATGCGTAAAACCATCCTGTGGGGAGACACGCACACCCCGCCCTCCCCGCTGGGTGGAGATCCACCCCCCCTCCAGCGGGTCCTTCTCTAGCTGCTCTCCAGGGCCTCTTTCCTTGGTCAACAGGCTGCAGGCCCACCTGGCTTAGAACCACTCAACCACCAAGTATTACCAGGAGGTGAGCCAGGGTGGGTGTATACTGCCCCCACAGGCCCCTAGTCTGAGGGAGTCAAAGCCGTGGCTCAGCCTGGGTTAATTTATCTCCCACTTTCCTACCATGGGCCACCATCCTCTAGTTTTTAGTCATCTCTCTTTCTGCACCCACCTTTCCCTTCCTTGTTCCTTCCCTTCCTACCCTCTCTCTAGATAACAGATGCTACCATCAGATCATAGACGGGGAATTGTGCCAAAGACACAATTGTGCCAAAGGCCACCCTGGCCAGATAGACCCAGGTAGGATGGACTAGAGTGGCGCAGACACCCTCCTACTAATGACAGGGAGAGGTCCCACACAGTGACCACTGTGGACACGTAATATGCATTTTCTTTCTTCATTGGCCATCTTCATCTCATCACTCTCTTGCTCAAAAACCTCCGGTAGCTCCCCATTGCTTCCCACACAAAACCACTCCACACTCTGGCATTTTCAGGCCGTCCATTATCCGGCCCCAAGTTTCTAGCCCCAAAACAAACCCTCTATTCTAGATGGAGTACATAGGAGAAAACTAGCATTTATTGTTCAAATTGTTCATGTAGACGTATATTGCCTTTAAGTAACATTAGCTGAGGGCCTCATGAGTCTGTAGGGTCTTTAGTTAGTGCAGGGCAAATTGAACCAGCATTTGGGCAACATTGGAATCAGCAGCCAATGTATTGCCAGTCACTGTAACCTATGCGGCCTCAGTTTAAGTTACCTCTATGGTAAGTCACATCTACGAGCCTCTGATCCTCACCTGTAAGATGAGACAGCCTGTAGATCACCTTTCTTCTCTGGAAATCTGGTCTTCTGATTGACCCAAGTTCAAATCTGAATTCAAAATCTAGGCTATCTCTACAACTGGGGAACTGTACCAAGCCAAATTCAACAGAGCTGCCCACAGCCCCCATCCTCGCCCTCAACATGCCACTAACAACAGTTCACATTTCTATCGCACATAAAGGTTTTCAGCCTGCAGTGTCCTGCAGCCTTGCCCTGCCCAGCTTGAGACAGCTGGTTGTTAAATGTTCAGGGGGAGGATTTGTCACCAGCAAACACTACAAATCAGGGTGCATGGTTTGTTTTTTTACTGATTTCTAGACCTTTCAAAAGTGATGGAGAAGATGTTAATAATGCTTAAAAGTGAGGCATAGATAGTTTTCCCCCCAGAGAATCCATTGTTAAACATTTACCAGCACACCCTTTTTCCAAAGGTAAGTGCTATGAAGGTGTTATTACCCCCACTTAATAGAGAAAGAAATTGAGAGTTTGCAAAGTTAAATGATTTAGAATCAAAGGATCACTAATGTCAAACTAGGATGACCCCTTAGGGGCAGTCTAGCCCAAACCTTTTATTTCACAGGTAAGAATTTATAATATAATTTTATATAATATATATGTTAGTATATGATATATAATACACATATATAATATATGCTTATAATATTATATTTAATGTAATGCATGCTTGTATACTATGTATCATAATTTATAAATATTATTTCATTTTATGCTCACAGCAACCCTGGGAGGCAAGGACTACAGCTGAGGAAAGCAAGACCCACAGGATTTGAGTAGTTTGCCCAGGATCAGACAAACCAGTCACCTGGCTCCAAGTCCAGTGCTCTGTCTACACTGCCACTTAATTAAACTCACAATCTAATTATAGAATCATGAAGGCTTACTAATTAATAAAAATAGGCAATGCAACACCTTCATTTTCTACCTGAGGCAGAACTGAGGCTCAGACAGGGAAACTACTACACCAAGGTCACACAAAGCTACTAGGTGCAGAACCAGACTTCAGAAGCCCAGAACTTTTGGGACCTCTGAGGTCATCTAGTCCAAGCTGCATCTGGACAAGAATCCCACACATGCAGAAACACACACCCATACACCTCTACAACAGCCTGTGCTATGGTAGAATTGTCCAAGTTTGGTCTGAGGACTGGGTTCAGACCCCAGCTCTGCAAGTTCCTCTTTGTGTGACCTTGGCAAGTAGAGTAAACTCTCCGAGACATCAGTTTCTTCATCCTGATAAGGTGAGGGGAGCTAGATTTGGTGACCTTTACACAGGGCCCTTTCAATTCTAAATCTGGATTTAGCCACTGATGTGCATCACAATTCTGAACTTCTGTGCCTGTGATACTCTGAACTCTCATCGTGAATGGTCAGCCAGCCTTCTCTTGAAGATTTTTAGTACCGAAGATTTTTCAATACTCCCTCCTCCCAAGGGAGCCCAGCCTCTTTGGATGGCTCTTCGGGAACGTTTTCCTTCCAATCAGCCTACCTGGCAGTGGGATGGGACCTCGCCACTTTCGCCAGCTCCACCTCGTTGTCAAAGCTGAGCACTCTAATGCCAAGACTGGCAGCCTGCTTCACCTGGGCAGCCTGCTTGCATGGGCTGGTGTAGATGATCTTGTGGGCAGGGACCCCAATGTGCTGCAGCAGCTCCATCTCTGCCTACAAGGACAGGAAGGGACTGAGCTCTGTCCTCGCTCATCCTGGGCCCACCTGGCAAGACGCCAGCAAGCTGACCCATAACCATCCCATGGACTAATCAGGCTCTTCGGCTTCTGGGAGGAGTTGGCATGTGAGCTAAGATTTTAAATGGTGGATTCAGAATTCAATGAAAGGCAGCCTGACTCGGGGATAGACACCCAGTCTCAGAGTCATGAAGACCCAGCTAGGTTCAAGTCCCATCTCTGGCACAATACTGGTGGTGGAACCCTACACAAGTCACTTAAATCTCGATGCCCCTGGGTCAACTCTCTAAGCCTAGAAGGTGAAGAGCAAGTTCCTCTGTATGGAAAGAGGGAGTTTCCACTTCATGAATTCCCTACAGGAAAAGAAGGAAGGAAGAAAGGAAGGAAAAGAAGGAAGGAAGGAAAGAGAGAAGCAGGGAAGGAGGGAAGGGAAGGAGAGAGGGGTGTAAAAAGGAAAGAAGGGATAAAGGAAAGAAAAAAGGAATAAAAAGAAGGAGGAAGGAAAGAAAGGAAGAAAAGGAAGGACAGAGGAAGGAAGGAAGGATATGGATGGATGGAAGGAAGGAAGGAAGGAGGGAGGGAGGGAGTGGGAAGGGAAAAGGAGAGAGGAAGGGAGGATCACAGATACAAAGAACCAGAAAGAAAAGGGTAGAAAAAGGAAAGCAAAGGGTGTTTGTAGGGGATAAAGAGTTCAGGTTGGATACAGCTCAGAATAGGTGGAGAGTAGCATGAGAGGAGACTAAAAAGAAAGGAGAAACAGGCACAAGTAGTGGAAGGCTTTGAATTCTGGGCAAAGATGAGTTTGAGCAGAATAGAAATCTGGACAACTCAGGCAATGATCTGTAATAATTCTCTGTTCTCTGGTGCACTTAAGTAGTAGTGGTTTAAACATTAATAGTTGACATTCATTCAGTGCCCACTTGACATGGTGAAAGATAGAAGTACGCGCAATGCCTTGACCTGGAACAGCAGGGATTACAAAAGGTCACAGAGTCTTAGAAACTCCAAGGCTTTAAGAAGGGTAGGGAACAACTTATCAGTATCTTAACCCTTACTAAGACAACTCTGATAAATGGTCCCCCCACATTGCACATGAACTACTTCAGTGACTAGAAGCTCATGTCAAACAGTCGTCAATGTTGTTGAAGGCAGTGCTCCCTAATCTTCCAATAGCCTAGGCTCACAACCTCATGACCCTCCTCAGCTGTTCATAACTTCAGCTCTTACTTCTCCCTCACCTCCTAGGGCCAATCAGTTACCAAATCTCATCAATTATGCCTCTGCATCATCTCTCACATCACTCCCTTTCTCTACACTCTACACTTGTAGAGACAAGGTCACCTACCTTTGGTTCAGAACCTCAGGGTAGGAGGCAGGGGGGAAGCTTGTGGTACAAGGAGATGGAATGGGACTAGGTACTTTCTAAGGGTTCTTAAGAAAGAAAGGTAAAAGACAGTCCCTGCCTTCAGTACAATAGAAGGGGGCAAAAACATACAAATAACTGTAGAAACAAGAGATATAATGGGTAAAAATGGAATTAATCAATAGAGGGAAGGCACCAGAGAGGGATCAGGAAAGATTTCTTGTAGAAGGCAGCACTTTAGGTGGAACTTGAAGGAAGCCAGGAGGTGGAGGTGAAGAGGGAGAGCATTCCAGGCATAGTAGACAGCCAGTGAAAATGCCCAGAGTTTAGAGATAGAGTGTGTCTTGTTTATTTAAGGAACAGAAAGGATGGCAGTCACTGGGTAAGGAGAAAACATGGGAGGGTAGGGTGGGGGTAGTAATGTATAATAAGGCTGGAGAGGTGGGAGAGGCAGGTTGTGGAGGGGCCTTGAATGACAACAGAGGATTATATATTTGATCCTGGAGGTGATGGGAAACCAGTAGAGTTGTTTGAATGGTGGTCGTGGTATATTTATGTGTGTATATGACATAGTGAGATCTGCACACTAGAAAGATTGTTTGGACAGCTGAGTGGAGGGGACTGGAGTGGGGAGAGACTTGAGGCAGGGAGACAAACCAGCAGGCTGTTGGCAATTATTCAGGTAGGACATGATAAGGGTTTCCACTAGGGTGGTGGTCATGTCAGAGGGGAAAAAGAGTGTATAAGAGAGATACTATAAAGGTAAAATCAATAAGACTTAACACACTGGATGGGGGCGCTGAGAGAGAGTGGGGAGTTGAGAATGATGCACCAGTTTTGAGCCCTGGTGACTGGGAAGATAGTGGTATCCTTGGCCATAACAGGGAAATTTGGAAGGGTTTGTGGGGAGAGAGAATGAGTTCAGCTTTGGACATGTTCAGTGTAAGCTATATCTTATAGGACATTTAGTTTGAGACATCTAATAGACAGTTGCCTTTCTTTGTATCCCCAGAGCACAGAGTAGGAGCTTAATAAGTGCTTATCGACTGACTGACTGACTGACTAGAAAGGCAAAGCTATCAGCTCCCTTTAAAGAGCACTGATGTTTCACCAGGAAGAGCCACAAGGAGGCATCCTCTGCTATCTAGACCAGGAGTCCCTGAGAATGAGCTTCTAAACTGGGTGATGTCACAGAATTTCCCGTAATTGAGCTCATAACATGACTTCTACCTAGAAAAGACCAGAAAGTGGAGGTTTATTAGATGGGAACATTTCTGTAAAGAGAGAAGAACAAAGGGTCAATCTACCTATTACTGTGGAACTCCCTGCCCTGGCCCTCATTTTCCCCCACCCTCCCCCAAGTCCCCTAGAAGATAAAGCCACTGACCCAAAGATAAGGTGGGTCAAGGCCAGGGCCCTGCAGTTCCCCTTCCACCACCACCCCACCCAGGAAATGGGCCCGCAGGGAGTCCAAGGATCTAAAATCTCCAGGAGGGTTTTCCTCCGTCAGCCAAGGGAGAGGGAGGAGGAAATAAACAAGCAAGAATTAAGCAATAACGACAAAATGTTGTACAAAGAGAAGGCCTATTACAATCTGGAAATTTCCCATGACTGTTATAAATAAAACATACATTACATAAATATAATATATAATAAAATATAAAATAAAAATTTATTATAGTCCTTTCCAGCTTGCAAAATGCAGTAAGGAACTTTAAGGAGCCATCTAATCCAACCCCTTTATTTTACAGATGAGGAAACTGAAACCTAAAGAGGTGAAGAAGCCTTACCCTATGACACAGCTAGTGAGCAATAGACTGGGCTCTAATACAGTTTTCCTGACTCCAAATGTCTGTCCACTATACTCCTGCTGTCTTCTCTAAAATCTTATGGCCGGGCTCTCCAAATATTTATTCTTATGGTAATGGTTGTTTCCTACACAGACACCTTTTCACATTTTAGTTCCCATTCTACAATTTTTTAAAGTTTGCAAGCACTTTTTCTATAATAGTCCTGTGAAATTAATATTTAGAATGTTAATGCTCATCTAATAGGTAAGAAAAGTGAGGCTTAGAGACAGGTAATCATAGCTAGGAAATGACAGAACTGTAAAACTTGAGCACTGCGATTTTCCTTTTCTGTTGTTTTTGGGGGGGAGGCATTATTTCTTCCACTTCACATCATTTAAGGGCAGCCAAGGGGCTTCATAGTACATAGAGTACCTGGCCAGGAGTCAGGAAGACTCATCTTCCTGAGTTCAAACCTGGCCTCAGACACTTAGTAGCTGTGTGACCCTAGGCAAGTCAGTAAACCTCTTTTTGCCTCAGTTTCCTCATCTGTAAAATGAGCTGGAGAAGGAAATAGCAAATCACTCCAGTATCTCTGCCAAGAAAACCCTAAAAGGAGTCACAAAGAGTCAGACGTGACTGAAGAAATGACTGAACAACAAAAACACTTCAACTCAATCTTGGACCTCTTGACTTCCTTTACTGCATCTTTAGCCCAGAATGCTTAGTGAACAGCAACAGATACTCAATAAAATGACTGAATAATTAGAAGATATATTTGAGCGATGGTAGAAAGCCTGGATGTGGGCAAGTCCCATATGTCACTACTGACACTGTAGATAACTTTGGGCATCTCTAGCTTCCTCCTTCCTGGATCTCAGCCTCCTCCAACTGTATGTAACAGAAGGAGGAAGACAGACCCCCCTCCCTCCAATATGCAATCTATTGTCAAGGCCTGTCAATTTCACCTTTGCAACATCTCTCAGATACTCCCCCTCCTCTCCTCTGCTACTGCAAAAACTAGAATCTAGTGTAGGTCCTTATCACTTCTTATCACGCCTTATCACACTTGTACTACTGCTAGTGCCTCAGTTCTCTCCCCACTCCAATATCCTCAACTCAGCCCAGATCTGACCACGTCACTCCCCTACTCAAAATCAACTCATTGCCTCCAGGATCAAATTACAAAATTCTCTCTTTGGCATTCATATGACCTAGCCTCCACCTGACTTTCTAGTATTCCTATACCTTATGACCACCCCTTCCCACCAATGTACTGGATTGAAGAATCCAGTCCTTGCTGTTCCTAGGACAGGACGCTCCAGCTCCCAGACTGCATGCATTTTCACTGGCTGTCTCCCAAGCCAAGAATACGTCTTCCTTGTTTTGTTTGTGTGTGTGTGTGTGTGTGTGTGTGTGTGGGTGGGTGGGTTTTTTTTGTTGTTGTTGTTTGTTTGTTTGTTTTTCCCGGCTTCCCTGGCTTCCTTTAAGTCCCGGCTAAAATCCCACCTTCTACAGGAAGCCATTCTTAACTCTAGAACCTCCCTCTGTTGATTATTTCCTATTTATCCTGTATATGTTTATACATAATTGTTTGCATGAGGTCCCTGAGGGCAGGGACCTTCTTCTGTGTTTCTTTGTTGTGTCTCCCATTAGATTGTGAGCTCCCTAAGGATTTTTGTTGGTGTTATTCAGTCGTTTCAGTTATCTCCAACTCTTTGTGAGTGGAATACTTTGCTTTTTCCTTCTCTAGCTCATTTTCCAGAAGAGGAAACTCAGGCTTAAGTGACTTACCCAGGGTCATACACATAGTAAATGTCTAAGGCTGGATTTGAACTTGAGAAGATGAGTCTTCAGGACTCCAGGCCCAGGACCCTATTCACCTTACTACCTAGCTGCCCCTTCCTGCCTGCCTTTTACCTTTCTTTGTATCCCCAGCACTTAGCACAGTGCCTGGCTCATAGCAGATGCTTTAAATTCTTACTGATTGAATGATTTTAAGCTTCCTCCTAAGAGCTAATACTCTGTAGGGTCAGCAACTAAATGGTGCAGTGGACAGAACACCAAGCCTCCAGAGTCAGGAAGACCTGAATCCAGATCTGGCCTTAGATACTTACTAGCTATGTGGACTTTAGGCAAGTCACTTAACCCTGTCTGCCCCAGTTTCCTCATCTGGAAAATGAGCTGGACAAGGAAATGGCAAAAGCCACTCCAGTATCTTTGCCAAGAAAACACTAAGTCACGAAGAGCTGGACATGGCTGAAATGACATATGTGTATGTATATATACATAAAATATGTGTACATATATGCATATACATATACGTGTGTGTATGTGTGTGTGTGTGTGTGTGTGTATATATATGTACATATATATATACACACACACACACACATATATGCTAAGGTTCTTCACCCTGATAGGTTCCAGCTTGATAGCCTATGTTCTAAGGTTCACCTCTCAGCTGTGACAATGTGTGGACCAAGCTCTTAAAATGAAATAGGACTCCTGAGGTAAGTTAGAGAAGCGGAGAGGGTGTCTCGTTACCTTATTAGCACAACTGAACCCCAGCCCCAGCTCTGCCAGGGCCCTCAGCACCCCGGGGCTGCTGTTGCACTTGACGACATAGAAGGGTCTGACACGGGGCAGGCTCTTCAGAAAACGAAGGTGCTTCTTCACCACATCTCCCAGGTCGGCCACAAAGAAGGAGGCCCCTTCATCCTACACAGAGAGGAGGAGGGAACCAATATGGAGGCCCTGGAGGCCCTGGGGTCCCTGCTTTTCCCACACCCTTCCCCCATCCAAACAGGAAATTTCCAAACATCTCATCACCCCAGTAGGGAAGGCAATCACTGCTAAGTCCCCAGGTCATCTATTTAATTATTCCCCAAATATTTTCTGGGCTAACAGTTGTTCAAGGCTAGAATACTTGAGCATGTCAATCCCTGGCGCTCATTTACTCCACCTAAAAATGGGAAGAATGGTGTTCTTAAGAGCATGGGATTTACAGATGGAAGGAAATTTTAGAGATTATCAAGCCCTATCCCCTTTATTTGGCATGTGAGGAAAGTGAAGCCCCAGAGAAAGGGAGTTAGTTGTCCAGCATCACCAGTAACTGATAGGAGTTCTCTCCACATCCCTGCAATTAGCCTTTATGCATCTGCTTTAGAAGTCTCTAAGGATCCTTTCAGCTCCAGAGCTCATCAGCCCCTATCTTTTCCTGCCTTCCACTCCAGCTTATTTATCTTCTACCTATATATATCTTGAGAGGGATTTACGTTTTATTGCTGCTGGATTTGGGGAGGTTGGGGGGTTTTGAGGGTTTTTTGTCATTTCAGTAGTATCTGACTCTCCCAGACCCCATTTGAGGTTTTCTTGGCAAAGATACTGGAGTAGTTTGCCAGTTCCTTCTCCAGCTCATCTTACAGATGAGGAAACTGTGGCAAACAGGATTAAGTGATTTACCCAGGGTCACAGCGTCTGAGGCCAGATTTGAACTCAGGAAGATGAGTCTTCCTGACTCTAGGCCCAGCACTCTATCCACTGTACCACCTAGCTGCCCATATGTAAGATATTATAATGAATTCAGAGCTAGAAGGTTTAGTCTGACTCCTTCCCTTATTTTATCAATAAGGAAAGTTGAGATTGATTTAGTGACTTGTCCAAGGACATCCAGGCAGGAATGGAAGAGCTGTGATGATAACTTATGTCCCAAGTGACCCCAAATCCAAGGCTTAATGCGCCATACTCCAAGCCCACCCTCCTATCTAGTCTCTGGATCTTCCCCTCCCTCCAGTGCATCCAATTATTCCCATGCTTCTCTTTTCCTTACCTGTGAGCCCCCCAGGGTCAGCTCCTCCAGCAGGTCTCTGGTGGTGAAGCCCTCCTCCACCATCACAAAGTCTGATTCACTCAGGTAGCCAGCCATGCTTGGAAGCCACGGGGAATGCTAGGTGGACCGGCTCCTGCCACCGCCACCGTAGAAAGTATGCAACACACTGCCAGGTTGGAAAGAAAGACAGGAAAAGAATGCCCCACAAGGAGGTCCAGGAGCAGTAAGCTCCCCCAGGGCACTCAGCAGCATCCCTATGCCCCAGCCTGTTCCCTGAACACATCAGCATAGGATGGATTGGGGGAGAATAGGAATAAGCCTTGCCTTGCAAGCAAGTCGAGTCTTCAGGAGTGATTTCAGTGTGAAATCCTCAGGGGCCCTGCTCCAGGAGTGCTGGATATTGTTAGTACAGGAGGGATGATGAGTTGCAGAAAAATACCCACATGGGATTAAGACCAGGTGACCTGAACTCTAGTTACCTTTCTGCCCACACTGCCTTCTTTCTTTCCAGGCCTCAGGTTCCAAGACGCACACTATCTGGCTCATCCCCTTCAGGTAGGTCATCAGGCTGCAGCCTTCCCTTCCTCCCCTTCCCTAGGCAAGGGCCCCCCACTTACCGAGCCCCGTCCTCCTTGGGGGGGGGCAGAGCCGGGTGCGATGCTAGGGGGGCTCGCAGGTGAGCTCAGAACTTGTGCAACACCCCGAGGAGTAGCTGCTGCTGGGGAGCTGAGGCCCCTGCTTCCCAAGAAAGGGAAGAGGGAGGGAGAGAAGAAAAGGAAGGGAGCAGCTAATCAGAACAGGGTGAAGGGAAGAGGGAAGAAAGAGGGAGAAGGGTCTACAGCAGGAAAGGAATTAGTGACCGTCTAGACCAAACCTCCCCCATTTCACAGATGGCAAAACCGAGGCCCCAAAGAGTGTAAGGGACTTGTCCAAGATTGGAGGGAGGAGAGGAAAATCTGGCACAGAAGAAGGCGAGGGGAGACGGCCTGTTGTATTTTCCGCCCTTTCGGCAACACCCCCTCCCTCCTCCCTTCAACTCACCTTAAAACGCATTTACACGGCTTCTGCCCATAGGTCTCCCCAGCGAGTGAATCGTATACCGGCGCGTCCGCTCCCCCCGAGGCTCCGGCCCGGCCCTGCGGCCTGCGCCCCGCCCGCCCGCAGCAGAGACTGATTCCACACCCCACCTCCCGCCAGCCTCTTCCCTTATATACCCCCACACCCCCACGACCCCCGCGCCCCGCCTCCTCTGACTCTCCGGTAGCCCTGGCAACCGGGCATCGCCAACCTATTGGTCGATTCCGACACAAAGCATTCGTCCTCGGGCGCACCCTGGGCCGCTACACACACCTCAGCATCGTCCCCTAACAACGCTCGCGTCTCGAGACCTCACCCTTCACACTACCCAGTTCACGTCCACGGGTGCCACCGCACTACGGATCCCACAGCGCTACGCATCCCACAGAGCGGTCTGGTCACAAAGGCATGTAGATGCCTCGCAGCGCCAAAGCTCAAGAAGGAATGGCTCGGACATCCTGAATGATAGGTGATGTGGGAGGAGGAAGGCCTCCCAGCAAAACAGGCCGTCCCCTTCCAATTCTAAATTCCAAATCCGGGATGGTGCATCTATCCCTTCAGGGCTGGGATCCAATCCACTTCCTCTGAACTGCTTTTCCCTCCCCTCGTCCCAGCAGGAGAGATCTCTCTTTGAGATACTGTATCTTATCAAATGAAGAGGTTAGACAGGAATCCTAGCATTTCCTAGTTGGGAGGGATCCACAATCATACTTCAACCATTTGTTTGATACTTTCTCTATTTTGACTCTTCCCATTTGTTTGATACTTGAGGAAACTGAGGTCCAAAAGACAAATGACATTCCCAAAGTCATCCAGCAAGCAGAAGAACCAGAATTAAAATCCAGGTTCCCAGATCCAGTCATGTTTCCAATATTCATGCTAGATGATGAGCTTTTGAACCTCTTGCAGCCCTAAGGCCCAAGTCTCCATAGCCCCCTTGGCTCTTGCCATTTAGGCACAAGACCTGAGGCTCACACTGCCAGTGCTCTTTCCAGTCCTTCTGCCAGCTCCAGCACTCACTCTGGGCACTTCTCTTCCTCCTCTTGCTGTAAAAGAACCAAGGGTTGGACTTGGGGTCTTCCGTTCTAGATCCAAGATTCTTCAAGGCAGGAATGTATAAGCCCTTTGAGGGCAGAGATGGTGCCTAGAGATCCATAGGATCCTAGAGTGCGGGCTGGAAGAGATGTTAGAAGGCATCTAGTCCAAGCCCCTCATTTTACACATGAGGAAACTGAGGCCTAGAGAGGGATAGTGACTTGGCCAAGGTCACAGAGGTGGTAAGGAATAGACAAAGGACTCCAAAGTTGGTGCTCTTTTCACTGTGTCACAGATTCAGGCACAAAATGTAAATATATAGATTTCTTTGTAACTCCAGTGTCCGGCACAGAGCTGGGTAAAGAGAGAGCACTGCCCCTTTGTGGGAGAGGAGATGGTAAAGGATTCTACCTTAAGCCCTGTACCTTGATGATACGCATCAGCTTCCCAGAAATTGATGCTACAGTGGAAAGAATGCTGGGTTTGAATTCTACCTCTGCCACTTACTCCTTGTGTGGTGTTGGGGCAAGATGCCCAACCTCTCTGGAGCTCAATTTTTTCATCTATAAAAAATGGGGGAATTGGATTTGATGACCAATGAGGTCATTTTCAGCCTGGAATGTCTCATGAATTTCCTCTCCTCCAAGCCAATAGCACTGTATTCGACCTCTGGGGGTTCCTTTTTCATTATCAATCAACACAAAACTATGTGCCTGGAAATATACTAAATAATGGAGCTACAAATCTAAGAGTGAAGTAGTCCCTGCCCTCAAGGAGCTTATATTCTAATGAGGGAGAGAGAGAACAGGAAAATAAAAAGTATACACATAATACACACAAGGCAGTTTGGGGAAGGAGGGAGGCCACTAGCAGCTTTGGAGGGAAAGCTTCCTACAGAAGGTGGTGTTTGTACAGTCTTGAAGAAAACCAGGGATTCCAAAAGGCAGAGGTGAGGAGGGAGTGAATTCCAGAAATGATAGACAGTGGATGCAAAGCACAGAGAAGGAAGATGGCACACTGGATGGATGAAACACCAAGGAGGCCAGTATGAAAGAAATGCAAGGTGCTGGGAGGGTGATAAAGTGTAAGAAGACTGGAAAGGTAGGAAGGGGACAGGTTGTGAAGAGCTTTAATAGTCAAATATTTGATCCCCAGAGGCAACAAAGAGCCCTTGAAGGTTTTAAGTGGGGTGTGATATGATCAGACCTTCACTTTAGGAAAATCACTTTGGCAGTGGTGTAGAGGATGGATTGAAGTGCAGAGGCATAGGTCAGGGAGGTCAGATAGAATGCCAGGTAAGGGATACTGAGGGCCTGAATTATGGTAGTGGCTGTATGAATGGAGAGGAAGAGATGTATAGGAGAGTAGTTGCAGAGTTAGGAATAAGATCTGGCAAATGATCGGCTCTGTCAGGATCCTCATGCCAAGACCACCCCTCTCTTTTTACTTTTACGAGACTCCCTGCTTTCCAGAGCTAAGGTGCAGAAAGCAGGCAATATCCTGAACGTAGAATAACAACAATCCTTTGTACTTGAATGAATTCAGCCATAACAAAATCCCAGAATAGTTTCATACCAGCACCGGGTGGTCCCTGAGCTCAGATAAGTACCTGCAGAAATCATGTTCCAGTCATGAAGCCTTGCTATGAATCAAACTTGACTCATTGTTGCTGTTACCTTTCATTGTCAGATGCACAGCTCACTTCATAGCCACTAATTTATGTATTAAGATTTGCCCACACTAAATCAGGTCAACTCAGTATCAGAGGAGGCCCCAGCATATCTGTCTAGTTTCCCTCCTCCAGTGGAATAAAGAAAACTTTTTGCTTATGATCACTGTTGGCTCTTTGTTTTTATTTTATTTTTCAGAGTTGACTATGGTTGTGATAATCTGTGTGAGCTCTGATATTTTCAGAGTTAACAGCAGTTGTATAACTTCTATGACTCTCTGGTCATTTGTTTTCAGAGTTGACAGATCTATGGGTATGTAAAAGGTGAGGATTCAAGAATAATATGGAGACTTTCATTCTGGGTGACTGGGAAGATAATCATGTCCTCAACAGTTTAAAAGATAGATAGGTTGGAGTTTGGGGAGATATAATGAGTTCTATTTTAGACATGTCAAGTTTGAAATGTGCCGTAGACTTTATTGGAAATATCCAATAGGCAGTTAGTTGGTGATGCAGAACTAGAGCTCAAAAGAGATAAGGATGGGATCTATAGATTTGGGAGTAATCTACATAGAGATGATAATTGAACCCATAGGAGCTTACAGAAGTCACTGAGAGAGTACAGAGATAAAAGAGAAGAGGGCCCAGAACAAAGCTTTGGGAAACCCCCATGGTTAGTGGCCATGACATGGATGATGAGTCGGCAAAGGAGAACAAGAAGGAGCAGTCAGAATCAAGAGAGCAGTGTCATGAAAACTTGGGTGGAGAGGGTAGTCAACAGTGTCAAATGGAGTAGAGAAGTCAAGGATAGACACCGAAAAGTGGCTGTTGGACTTGATGGTTAGGAGATCATTGGTATCTTTGGAGAGAGTAGTTTTAGTTGAGTGGTAAGATCAGAAGCCAGATTATAAGGGGTTAAAAGAGAGTTAGAGGAAAGGAAAGAGAGACATCAAGTGTACATGGCTTCTTCAAAGAGTTTGACTGAGAAAGGGAAAATAGATACAGGATGATGAGGGATGATGAGATCCAATGAAGTTTTCTGTTTTGGTTTTGGGCGGGGTTTTTGGTGAGGTTTTTTTTTTTTTAGGTTAAGGGAGACTTGGGTGTGTTTGGAAACAACAAGGAAAGAACCAGCAGATAAAGATTAAAGATTGGTGAGAGGAAATATGCTTAAGAAGATGAAAAGAGATCAGATCAAAGATGCATATAGAAGGGCTGGTCTTGGTGAGGAGAAGGGCCACCTCTTCACTGGAGACTGGAGTAAAGGAGAAAAGGGTAGGGATAATGTCAATATGTAATGAGAAAAGATAGCAAGATTGTCAGATGAGGAGGAAGGGAGAAAAGGGAATTTCCAGTGGAAAGTCTCAATTTTTTTGGTAAAGTACTTCTCAAACCATCCCTAAATTCCCAACCCAAGACCTCCTAGTAACCTGATCTCAGTCTCTTTGTGCATTGTTCCCAAAGTTCCAGGACCTACTGTTCCCAATCTTTAATTACCTTCCTCTTTCTCCTGTCACTTCCATCACAACTGGGCACAAGTTTGTCCACTCCTTCCATTTTCCTTTTTTCCCTCTGCCCCCACATAGTCCAAACCACAAGAGTCCTAGTCCTCCTTTATCATTTGTTCTTTCATTTCCCCTCAATGGAAGGAAAAATATGGAAATACAGATTAGTGTCACCATTACTTCATAAATAGAATACTACATCACACAAAGACAAGCCCATCCATCACAGAGGCAGACACTTCAATGATTGATCAACACCAAAAGGAAATTCTAGTGAAGTACCACAGGACTCTCTCCATGGCTATTTAACATTTTTAT